GAGAGAGAGGGAGGAAGAGAGTAAAAGAGAATAAAATATCATTTGCTCATAGCCAATCTACTAGATTTTATTTTGACCACGAGTGAGTTTTTCCGTGTATTCTATTAGTATTTGCATTATCATTACCAGGCGTGCTGCTTGACAATATCTTTATATATTTATATGTATATACCTGCCAAGTCATTTTAAAATATGATATCTCTTTTGATGTGCATTTGGATATTTTTTAAGAATATCAAAATGTTCAACGTAAAAGCTATTTATTATTATTTCTATAATTTACATATAAATGCGATCCCTGAGTACAAAACAGCTAAATTCCCAAACTTTGAGAAATTTTGACTCATTTGCTGTGTGTAGGGAACAAATTCCTGAACAAAGACTGTGCTTCAGCTGACAAGAAATCAAACAGACAGCACTAATACTAATAACAACTCTAGAACAAAGGACACAAAAATATTCCATTCTTTTAGTACCTGTGTACCTGTGTATGAAGTAATCCTCCTGTTTTTCTTTCATATGCATACAAACACTCTAATGTATGTGTAAACATGATTGTACTATAATACACTTACACAACAGGCAAGTGCCTATATACTAAAACATGAATCTACAAAAACACATTTGTGCACATAGACACAGGCATGCAAGAACACATATGTGCGTGACATTGCACATGCGCACGCACGCATTCACGCACCCACACACACACATACTTAATAAGTTTTTAGAAAATCAGCAAATATATTCAGAAAAACTGGGGTTTGATTAAAAAAAGAACACTTGAATGTCTCTGAAGAAGGCAGGAATGTAACGTGTAGCACTTTTCAACAAACAACCATACAAACAAACAATATTTTAATAACAAACTTCATTGCATACATTTTAAAGACAAACTCACAATAACAACAAAACATGTCAAATTATAAAAAGCAAGTTTAAGAAGCAACAGTTCAGCTGAGTTTAAGTACAAGTAGAAACAATTTCAACATCAACAGATTAAAACAACATATTCTAATTGAACTGATAAAAACCTCTCCAGTATATCTAGACACTGATATTGTAATTCAAAGATACAGAATATCATCATGGTAATAACATAGCTAAAGTAATTTGTCCATGTATCTAGACTTTGGTTTGATAAAAATACATGTTTCTTGTTTCATGTCCTCAATATAGCAGGGTTTAGTTTTGTGTACTAAAATTTGTTTTTTCAATGAGACAATTTCACTTCTTCATAATCCCTACGATTGACTAAGGTAAGCACTGTTTCCCCAAGTTTTCTTAAGACAATGAAAAGTGACTTGGGCAATTGTTGAGAATTTCTGTTTTCCTAAAACCCTGTCTCCATATCTTCTTCTTTCCCCTTCTTCTTTCCTGAGAATTTCTGAGTGACAGCTTTGTATGCCCTTGAAGCAATGTTGCTGCCCCTCTTTTCCTCTCGCTTGGCGGAGGCCGCCGGCAGGTTAGGATTGGATGAACTCATTCCATTTCTGCCAGCCAGCACTGATGTTGCCGACAGTGCAGGCGCCGTCCGGGTTCGTGAGCCTGTAAGAGACTCCAAAGAAGAAGCAGCGCTGGGTCCTGTTGGGTGAGGGTCAGGGGAAGAAAGGAATATTTTATCATAATGGAGCTCAGCCCGTTAGTGAGGTCAGTATACATATTTTACACAGGTGCCTACAAAATCTACAAAAATAGGATTCCGTTAAGAATTATTACAGAGGGTTACGTGGGCATATTTTCAAATCTCGGAAACTACCTTTTCGTTTTTCAGGTTTGATGGTTTTTCCTGTAAATCGAAGCTCTCATATGTTTTTACTCTGCCATTAGCCATTTGGACTACTTCCGCTTCAGTTTGTGCTTTGTCGTGTGAGTGACACAGTTGCTTCTACTATTTCCAGATCTAGAATCTCGATATCCAACTCTGTTTGGATGTGTGCTTCGCAGTGTCGATGGATACTTCAGACCAAACTTCATAGTATTGACTTTTTCTAGATACATTTGGTGTAGTCATGTCCACAACACGTTGAGTTTGTTTAAACCCACAAAATGTTTACTTTGATGTATTGACATTTTCAAAATTTGGTGCGTATATTTAGAGCATAGTTTTTTTTTTAGAGCAGGACTCTAGATCTAGATCCCTCTATAGTAGACCTACATGTGAGCCTCAACAAGATTGTCTGAAAATGTTGCGCAACCCCCCCCCCCCCCCCCAAAGAAACCAAGAGCTTTTGTGGGTGTCATAAGGAAGGACTTCCAAGTAACGAGCGACCACCCCAACAAACACAACAAAGAAGAGACCCAACCCTACCCCTACCCCTAGGCCTACCCCAAAAAAGAACCTGCAACGAGCTTCATGTGAAAAGGCCAGCACAAGTCGAAAATGAAAAAAAAAATTTTAATTAAAAAACCACACTCCAAAACAAACAAGGCTTACAAGGAGCATAATATAATGGCCTACATCTACATATTGTAGAGTAATCGTACCGGTTCGGGCAGCACGTTTTTTTTTAGCTGTCGGGCACTGGAGTACAAAAAGATCGTTTAAAACTTCGTTTTTAAATCTAGCCCCTAAAGAGTGGCACACAAACCTAAAGCAACCTCCCTTACTTTCGTTGAAACAACAGTTACGGCGATATTTTGCTAAAAATAATCCTTAAGACAGCTTTTTCTTCATCAACTGAGCAAAACAGCGTGAAGCTCTTTCCCCGGAAGAGTTAACATTGGTTGTGGATGAAGGAGCCTGTGGCCTCGATTTTACGTTTTGGTAAACTCTGAAGGCTGGAGTTATTTGCATATGAGGCCCTGTCAAGGATGAAAGAGAATTTGCAGTTCAGTCTCGCCGTTTTTGCCCAAAGGGGGGGTGCCCGGATTGTAACATAAAATCCGTAGTTTCTCATCCTTCGGGCACAGAAGATAATATAGAGCCAATGATATAACAAAGAATAAAGAATTTGTGCATAATTTAAATAACAGTAGAGTCAGATACAGCATATTAGCTCAGACAGACACCAGTGTAGTAGAGTCACATACCAGTGTGTAATACAGTCAGAGATCAGTGTAGCCGAGTCAGATCCAGTGTGTAATACAGTCAGATATAAGTGTAGCAGAGTCAGATACCAGTGTAGTTGAGTGAGCCAGATACCAGTGTAGTTGAGTCAGATACCACGTAGTAGAGTGGGTCAGATACATACTCATTAAAATAGCTGTAAATGGTGAAAATCACTTTAGACAAACTATCATTGTGTCCAAGTGTTGATAACAAACATTAAAAATCATGTTATTAAGCTTGCAAAGAAACAAATGTGATAATAATTGAAAATGACCGAATGTCAAAATACTGCCCGAATCCATGAGAAAACCAAAAAAATGTGACTGAACACGTAAATAAATCGGGTGCCACTTTTGCACCCAGTAAGGGCCTCAAATATGAGAACAAGCTGAAACAGGTCATTCCTGGGGTCATCCAATCACAGGGCTTCCTGTAGCTGGTTTCGGTTTGTCTCTAGGGCAAGGCAGATAGGAGATATAAAGCTTTAAAGTCGACGTGCCTGTTTTCGTCCTAATTTTGACCGAACCCGTAATTCTGCTCTCGATCTATAATAATAGGGTTTGATATAATAACACAATAGAATTGGAATATGAATCCTCCATATAGATTTAGTAAACTAAATAAATCTAGATCTAGATCTAGATCTTGTAGAACAAGTGAATAGGATCTAGGAATAGGCCTTTAACTAGAAATCCGCATCCGATTCCGAACAGAGGGGCTCAGCTGAGTCTAGATTCTAAATAAATAAATAATTCACGCACCTGATGAAATGCCTTTTATCAAAATTAATATTATTACAGCACAACCTATGATAGGGTTTGACAAAATAGAATTGGAATATGAATCCTCCATTGAGGTCTATAATGATCCATATAAATCTAGATCTAGATCTAGATTCTATTATCTAAGTGAGTCGGACTGGAATGAATCCACATGATCTGAACAATTGAATTTGTCAACAAAACGAAATTCAAAATGGCCGCTCGAGCACGAAACTGAAAGTAGATAATTTAGGTCGTCGTCCTTTTTCGTATTCGCATATCTACTCAGGTTCCGACAATTATGTCGGAAACGCCGACGTCGGCACGAAAACGAAAGTGCCAACACAGCCGACGGGAGAAAAAGGGGACGCTGGCAGTCGACCAGGCCTCGCACTTCGCACATTGACTGATACAGGTGGGCCTAGCGATAGCATCGATCGCCTCGCGGGTCACGTCGCGATTGTCGGATTTCAGACAATTGTCGGCAAACATGCAGGTCTACTATAGTCTCTAGATGTATTTGGAGCACAGAATTCAAGACTGATTTGAAGTAGTTAGCAAGAACAGAAGTGCCGTTTGTGCTTAGTCATGTGTGTGCCACAGAGTTCTACTTCCTGTTTACAGAGCTGTTTCCAGATCTAGAATCTTGATATCTAACTCTGTTCGGATGTGTGCTCCGCAGTACGGTGGGTACTTCAGGTCAAACATTGTACTGAAGTACGTTCTTCACATACTGGTTGGAAGCTATGCATGTCCAGTGTAAAATCAGTGTTGAGACTGTTAAACAACATTTTTTGGGTGATTTTCCCTTTGTCCAATACAGCATGTCAAGACCACTGCTGCTAGGAATCAAACATGCAACCTCTACATATGAAGCCTCTCGCTACATAACAGTCTGATAAGGGGAGACGTACACTCCCGGAAAATTTTTTCTAAACAAATGACTTTTATTCAATTTCATGTAATTGTGCAAGAAGTTCATAGGTAAATAGGATGTAGGCCTACTACGGGTGAATTTGTTGAATTTTTCTGAAAAATGGGTTTCTGTGGCGGCCATCTAGGATTTTCAAACCAGTTTCTTTGTGCACAAGAATTTCATAGTAAATATTGAATTATCAGCCTGAAATTTGGGACACAAGTACAAACCTCCATGCACCCAGGAGGTCACATATGTCAAAAAGTAGATTTTGAGAAAAACAGAAAAAACAGGGATTTTTTAAAGGATTTTTAGAACAATTTGCACTTTTCAAACGCCCTTTTAGGCCATTTAGGGTGTTTTTTCAACAGTTTTTCATTTTGACTCGATAGAACAGATGTCAAAGGATGTTTTTCCGCAAAAAACAAAAGTTGGATAGTTTGAAAAATTGTATCGATATTGCCTTGGATCGCCTACCCGGGTCTTCCCTTAACAAATATTGAGACATAGACAGTCTGGTATGAATTAAAGAGAAAAGTTCTTTTTCCGAAACTCAGTATCCGCCATTTACTTTTGAGTGAGAAATCTGAGAAAACCTTTTCCCAGAAAGGTGTAACTCCTGACAATTCCCATCTGTCCCCCACTTTTCCTGTGTTGTTTTAGTAAAATGCTATTGCTGAAAAGATATGTGTGCAACTACATCTGATAATGCTTGTGTATTGTTGTGTAGGTTTCTTTTTCCCAAACACATTGAAAGGACACTTACGGAGTTAGGAAAAAATCACGTAAATCCAACCTAGAAAGCCCATGTATGCTCAGCACTCACCAGAAGATCTGTAGACTGGGGCTGTATAGTGCTTTGGCTGTCCACTTGGACACTGATTCTGGGCTGGGTTGTTGTCCAATAACTGGGAAGAAACCTGATCCAAATATAGACCAGATGGGTAATTTTAATTGTAAGGTATCAAAAGACTGGTTAAAAGTCCAAGTCCAAAGTTAAAGTGTCTCACACCTTGTCCCTATATATTTATGTCTTTTTCATTCTAGCAAAGCTGCAATTTCAAGTAATATAGGAGGGCATTTGGTGTTTGCTTCACTTCCATCAGTTACAAATTAAATGAGTTGTTTTATGACTGATCTGGTTCTGACATTAGCACAGGTACTATAATTATGCTATTAGACTGAGAGGACTATTTGGAACATGCACTTATGAGTGATAATTATAATACAGAAAAAAAATTAAGTTCTCCACTGCTAGTGTGCTTTAAGGCACATCATGCTTTTACCTAGTGTGCTATTAGCCAGAGAGCACAGTATATACACTGAGATTTCTATATTTGCTTCCACCGGGACTACTATATTTGCTTACACTAAAATTTCTATATTTGCTTACGATGGAACTTCTATATTTGTTTACACTGAGACTACTATATATATTTGGTTACACTGGAACTTCTATATTTGCTTACACAGAGATTTCTATATATATTTGGTTACATTGGAACTTCTGTATTTGCTTAAACAGAGAGTTCTATCTTTTTGCATACACCAGAACTTCTATTAATGCTTACACTGCAACCACTATATATTTGCTTACACTGGGTGCTTACACTGCGACTACTAAATTTGCTTACACCAAGACTACGATATTTGCTTACACTGAGACTGTTACTACATTTGCTTACACTTGGACTACTATACATTTGCTTACACCGAGACTGCTATAGCCAGATTCTGGTGGTGGGTTGGGATGTCCGTCTTCCCCAAAGCCAGTCAGGGCTGGAAGAGGTCGGGAGGACGCCGGAGGAAACAGCGGAGTTGTGGGGAGCAGCGATGATTCCAGGCTCATTGAGTTCGAACCATGAATCTGTGGTGGCCAGAAAAAAAGGGTGTAATCTTGGTTACAATCAATTACTGAAGGGGAAAAAAAGGAATATTATTGGTTACATTTAACTACTGAAGAAAAATAAAAGGGTAATTTTAATTTCGCAGAACTACTGTACGAGAAAAAAGAGGGTAATTTTGGTTGCATTCAGCTACTGATAGAACCAGTAATCAGCAGAAAGAGAAAAAAGGGTAGTAACTTGGTTATGTTCAGCTTGTTCGCTTCATTGTTCGAACAAAGAGAAGCACATCAATATAATAATGGTCAATTGGAGCAGGAAAAAGGCAAGAAAGATAGACAAACATTTAAAAAGGGGAAAGGGGGGGGGGGGGCTACCAGTGACCCCCAGCTTACTTTACTTTGACTTTTATCCGCCGCTTATACGTTTTGGGTGTCGCTGGAAGAAAGGGACGTCTCTCTGTCACCAGTCGGAGAGCTTGGGTCAGGGGGATGCCGTGGGTGGTTAATGTTTCCCTGACTCCATCTATCCAGGTCTTTCTCGGTCGCCCTCTAGCTTTGTTGCCATCGAATTTTTGGATGTAGGCACCTTGTCCTGGATGGTGCGTTGGTAATTGTAGGAGATGTCTGAACCATTTGATTCTTTGGTGTTGGTTGTGACGCATGACATCATTTGTGCCCACAATTTCTCGGATTACTGAGTTTCTAATTTTGTCTCGCCTGGTCTTGTTTACTGCTTTTCTCAGGCATTGCATTTCACATGTTGTAATTTTTTGCTCTGATGTCTTGTTCGTGTCCATGTTTGGCATTGATAATTGAGTGTTGGGATGAAAATGGTGTTGATCATTTTGAGTTTTGTTGTCATGGGGATGTTAGGATGTTTCAGTAGTGGAGTAAGCTGGTAACTAACATTATTGGCCTTTTATACTCCTGTTTCAATTTCTCTGTTCAGTCGCCCATCCTCTGTGAATCTTCCGAGCTACTTAAATTCTTGGACCTGTCTAAGACTGTTGTTGTTGATGTGTATCCTGAGTGGTTCTGGCTTTCTGCTTACTTTCATTGTCTCTGTTTTGTTGATGTTGATCCTCATGTCGTTGTCATTACATTCTTTGTTTAATCTTGTGGTGTGGTGTTGGAGACTTCATTCATCTTTGGTTATCAGCGAAGAGTAATTCATTTAGGGCGTCTGGTTCTGTGTTGGCCTCTTTTGTAATTCTATCCATATATATGATAAACAGTAGTGGTGATAGGACTCAATCTTGTCTTACTCCTAATGTTATCTCTAACCATTCTGTGAGTCCCTCTGACGTTCTTACTGTACTTATGCTGTTCTCGTAAATGGCACGGATGTTATCTAGAAGTTGGCCTCTTACAGTGTAGTTTTCGAGTTCTTTCCATAGCTTGTTTCTGTTCACTCTGTCGAACGCTTTCTCCTGGTCGATAAATACTATATTAAGTTCCCTGTTGTGTTCTATTACCCTTTCGCACATTTGTTGTAGGGCAAATATTGCGTCGGTGCATCCTCTTCCCTTTCTAAATCCCATTTGGGCCAACTTTGTGTCTTGTTCGCCATTCCAATATCTTGGCGAACATCTTGCCCACATGGCTTGGAAGTGAAATGCCTCTATACATTCCACAGTCTCTATTACTGCCTTTCTTCTTCCAGATTGGAACTATGACCGCTTTTTGCCAGTCACCGGGAACTTTTCTTTCTGTCCATGCTTTCGGAAAGATTTTTGTGAGCCAAGTTATTCCAGTTTCACCACATGCTAGGATGGTCTCGTGGTGAGCTCATCTATTCCTGCGCTTCTGGTTTTTTGGGCTGGTTTTAACTGTTTGTCTGACCTCTGATGGAAGGACGGTTGGTTCTTCTTCCTCTGAGAGACTTGGTTGGAATTCTTTGATTGTTTGCTTTTGAGTGGTGTTCAAGAGTTCTGAGAAATATTCCCTCCATCTAGATTTAATTGTGGAGCTGTCGATAATGGGGTTTCCTGTTTTGTCATTAATTATAGCTGTTGGGTCGTATGGTTCTTCTCTGAGCCTCATTGATTTTACACTTCTGTAGAAGTCACGTGGTAATTTATGGCACAGTTCGCTTAGGTGTTCTCCATATTTTGTCCAAGATTCATTTTTTGATGCTCTAACAACTCTTTTGCAGTTCCTTCTTGCTAGTCTGTATTGCAGACTATTGTGACCCCCAGCAACCGCCATAAAAGAGAAAGGGAGAATGAGAGAGAAAGAATGAGATGGAAAGAATGAGAATGAAAGAGCTTGTGGTGAGAGCAGATAATAGGATCTACCTCAAAGCCATAACTTGCAAAAATAAAACAATTTTTTATGCAAAGCACTTTTGATCAAATGCACAACTTTTCCCCCCCCCAAATTTTGACACTTTAACATTGGCATCTTACAATACATGTTTCAATTTGCCTTTACAGTACCCCCAAAAAATGGATTCCATCTTGTCCCTTATAAGCGACATTTTTTTTCTTTTTGTAACGTAATGAATAAAAAAAATTAGCCCATGTACATAATAATTCTCCTGTGTGGGCAGTGAGTAATATTTGTAGTAAAGAAAATAAGAAAATTTTGTTTGCATTGTCAACTTTGCCATAGAAAAGATTTAAAAAATGAAAGACATTGTTGCATGTACATTCCTAACCCAATATTGTTAGTGACAGGGGCTGCGCAGTAAGTACACTAATTTTTAGCAACTCTTACTAATACCGAAAAAGCCTGTTTGTCCCAGGGGGAAAAAGTCCTCAGACACGATGTCACTGATTTTTTATTTTTTTTATATTTTAGTTTCAAAATCTCAAAGGGGATCAAAAGATATCCCTAAATAAGCAATTCATATTTTGAATGAATGCCCTACAGCAGTGAGAGTAGATATTGGGACTTATCTCACATTGGACAAACCAATCAACCTCAAGAACTAATGCGAGAGCAGGTAATGGCAAAGTAAAGAAGTGGGACCTGACAGTGGCGCCGGCCAACCATCCACAACAACTAGAGGTGAGAGCTGACAATATGGGACGTACCTAAAAGTCACTGCTGGGTGTGTTAAATTGCAATATAGGAACTACCAATGGCACCCGTCAACCACCCACAAGAACAAAACGAGAGAGTGGAGAATGACACCAAGCAGTGCTGCCATCCAATCACCCAAAAGTAGAAAATAAAGAAAGGGAGGAAAAGAGAGGGAGGAAGAATAAGGGAGAAAGAGAAAGAGGGACTGTGATTTTTTAAAAAGAAAAAACTAGAGGTTAAAAGAAAAAACTAGAGGTGAGAGCAGGCAAAGGGACGTACCTCAAAGTCACTCATCTCGAGCGGAATGCGAATGGACTGGGCTAGCCTCACCCATGACCAATCTCTCAGGTCCTGTTTAGTAAAGTCGCACAGAGCCATAATCTTCATGATGTTGGGGATTTCAACCTCCTCTAGTTTCACTGGAACAATTCTTTTCTCTCTTGCACCTGAGAGATACCCAAGACCAGTTTGTTTGAGTAAAGAGAAGTGTATCTGCACAATAATGGCCATTCAGTGCAGGAGAAAAGTAAGACACAAAGACAGAAACAACTGAGGGAAAGAAAAGTGCAACCTATCAGTTGCATCCGCCAACCACCTGTTTTCTAATTTTAAACAATAGAATCCATTTTAACCCTTCCAGCCCCATGCGCATTTATTTTCAGCAGCGCTTGTACTTCCCACCGTCCTTAGAGCGAATTTCTCAGTTTCGAGGGATACCAAATTTGCGCATTTTAAAAAAATTAGCCAACCTAAGTAAACTTTTATTTTCATAACATTTGTTCATTTACCTTTAAATATTGTTATAATTTTATTATCTAAACCTCATTACAAAGATACTACATGACTTCTTAGAATGATGCCTCTTTTTCTGAAAGACTGCTGTATTGGCTGGGACTGGGGTTAGGGACAGCACAAAAATGGTTGGGGCTGGAAGGGTTAAAAAAGGAACATGAAGGTGAGAGCAGAAAATGAAAAAAAAAAAATGAAAGTGCTACTTTACATTATATGTTTATTTGATCACATCTACCTACTTTTACACAGCATCAGGCAGTAAGAGTTTGTTTTTGTGTTTGGTTTAGTTGATTCGAGTGAAGAGAAGCAAATCAACAAAGTAGCGGATATTTCGCTCAGAAAAAAGAGAAATAGACAAAAACGTCAGATACAGGCAAACAAGCCCCATTAAGGTGTGCGCCTCTCATTCAATAGGTCCCGGGTTCGAATCCGGGTAGCGCCGAAAAAATTTTCTTTTCTAAAATTGTCTCCTTTCACCTCCTTTCTTGCTCTCTAGCAATGTTCTGTCGTCTGCTTTCGTCTCCACTTTCTGCCCCCACCCCTCACCTCCTTTACCCACTCCTATGGGTTTCTGACTCTTTCTGCAGCCTTTCTACTGCTACTCCTTGGTTCCCCCTTTCAGCCACACCCCTGATCTTCTGGTAGGAAAGATCTACAATTAGCCTTCTCGGACAAGGGCGAAAAATTTTGGGGACCCGTGTGCAAGTTTCGCACATTAGAGATCCCTTCGTGGTCTAAAATCTATTATAATAGTAGGCTTCAGCCGCCATCAGGGCAAAATTCAAAATTTCCTACCAACTGAAAATGTTTAATGTGTCCCGCGCGCTCATATGACCCTATGCGGTTGCGAGGGCCGTAAAACATTTACAAAAACAAAAACAAAAAAAAACAAGCCCCAGCAGCAGCAGCAGCATCAAGACGTCTGCTCATAGCACCCTCCAATCATCCACAGCAGACCCTCGACATTTACCAACAACAACACAGGTGCCACACTCAGCTTATTTGACACTAGAGTTTTTTCTTTGACAACACAAACTTACTTTAAGCAAGTCTATTTTAAGTAAACTACGCTGAACAATAATGCTCGAAAACAAATGATACATGGATGTTTTTCAATTGCGAGGTTAGGAGGAGAAACTATTACAAAATCTCTGAATAAGAAAGCAATGAACTCCAGTTTCTCCAAGTTCTAAAAAAGAAGTACAACATTACTTAACCAACTTACGCTCGATAGTTCAATCACTAAATATTCGCTTATGAAAAAAAAATAAAAAATTACTGAATACACAACAAAGTTCTTGAAAAGGCAAAACGGGGAATCAGTTTCACAAAATGTTATAAAAAGTCTTTAAATCTGCTCTAAGAACATAAATTTCTGAAGACATTATAATGTCCTCAAATCCACAAACAACAGATCCAGAAGAAAGTCATGTCACCTTTTCTCTTCATCTCTACAAAACAGCAGCAGAAATAAACCTTAAACCTGGTTTACAAAAAAATAAAATTTTTAAACAACAACAAAAAAAACATTGCTCACCAGGATTCAAGGCATGGGCGAAAGAAGTCTGAAAATCACACGCTTTGCTCTGTAGAAAGTTTTCACTCAGCACGACTATCATGTGCCGGCACCTGGAAAAATCAACACACAAAAAAAATTAAAGTAATTATGAATGTTTTAAAGTCCCATCAACAAAATAAAGATCATTTGGCAACGCAGGCAACTTAAACCCTGCCCGTCAGGGCCAGTCTGGACTGAGTAGGACACAACATCCAAGCAAACAGACGAAGATACCCAATAAAAACTTTCCTAACAGGGGAGTCAAACTGATATCTTCTGCATGCAGCAGAGAAGAGACTGACCCCTACAACAAAGATACCAGTGAAAATTCGTTAACTCACTGGAAATGGTTCCCACAACATTTGTGAGCACCAATATTTCCCTGAGAGGCGGTTCACACACCCCCTGCGAGCACAAGTTTCACGTTTTCTCCTAGGCAAAGTACACGCGAACATTGCGTGAACCGTCTCTTACCGTGCAACCGACCTCTGTTTCATTTCGTGCGAAGTTTCACCGGAATTGGCCGGAAACTTTTTGAGTTATCGACCCGGAAAGAAAGTTAGTTACGCCGAGGCCCTACTTTCGTTTCTCTGACTGGTGTCTGTTCTCGCAGCACCTTGTCAGTACGATGACAGCACGTTTAGTTTTAGTAAGTTCTATGGCACTTGCAACACAATAAGGTCGAAGATTAGGTGTTACAAGAGAGTAACAAACACAAAAAAAAGACGGCAGAGAGATCAGGACGATAAATCTTTGATAAGAAATAAAGAGCAAACCACACCAGAGCATCCGCCAACCACCCATGTGGCAGCACGAAAAGCAAACATTTTTCAAGTGTTTGCACGACTTTGGCAGTTCAGAAAATTCTGATTATGATATTTTAGACCATGGGGATCCTGATTTCAATGTAAATGAGCATCAAAGCACTGATTCTGATAGCGAAAGTTCTAGATCTTGACAAGGCAAAATTCCGCTTTGTATGGAGCCCTGTTTTTTTTCCAACTAAAGCTAATGCATAAGGATTACCATATCTATTACGTTCCTATTCATGAGTTTGGGCTTTTTATTCATTTTGAAACACAAAACATAATAAAAGACACACACAAGATTAATTTTTTGGGGATTTGTTGGGGTTTTTTCAACATAAGACATTACGTCAACAAATTTTGGCGAGCAACCAATTTTAGCACATTTTCAAAAAATAATTTCTAAAAAACTGTAAAAGATATTGCCTTTCTGTTTTTTGTGTCATATTGGGCATGTTTAGAGATCTTATGTCTGTAAAAATCGGGGTTGTGTGTCTTTGGGAAGGGTGTTTTTTGAAAATGTCAGTCTTCAGTGTATGTAGACCCTAAAAAGGCCCAGTCTCCAGTGAGTTTTTAAAAAACTGTCAAAGCTACAAAAAAATAAAAGTTCTTTATGGTAAAATCAGAATCAGGACAGGAGTACAGCCCCCCCCCCCCCCCCACAAACTGTCTCAATCTATATACTGAAGTAACAGCACAACTATGCAATGCTGGAACACAGTGTTTAAAAAAAAGCACTCAAACTGATTTATCGAACATCATCTAGAAATAAGTTCTTATTGATTCTAGTCTCTACTTTTGCACCTTTAAAAACTCATGAACAGCCAGAGAAAGATCTTAAACTAGATATACAAATTTTTCAAAATGTTTTTTCCTCGTCTCATCTGAAAGCTGTAATATCTCCTGTTTAATTTTTAATTAAGATATTGTCATCTTTACTAAAAACCTGTAACATACAGAAACAATTTCAGAAAGCGACCGAAGAATGCAGGGTTTTCACCCACTTTTGCAGATGACACACCATGTTTCTCATCTGAGAATTTATCTCCTTGTGGGTAAAAGAGCAAAAAAAAATAGACCCTGAACCACTGAATAAATAAGAACAACTATGATAAGAAATAAATTGCTGAATATTTACTTTGACATACTGACTTCCAGTATGCTGTCTGCTCATTTAATATCATGTTGGATTGTTGTGTGCATTGTCATCGTTCAAATCTCTGTACAGGGACATTCTAGAACTTGGACTGTATGGGGAGCTTAAGAGGCTCTTCAGTCACCTGACTCTGTTATAAGCTTCCTATTTGATCTTATAATGCTAACAGAGGCTTGATGCCATTACACATATCTTCTATTCTCTTAGTTTTAGTAGTTTTAGTAGAGGTTTTACGGCGCTCGCAGCTGCATAAGGTCATTTGAGCGCCAGAAGATTAGAGGTGTTACAAGAGAGTAACAAATATAAAAAAGATGAAGAGGAGATAAGGACAATAGATATTTGATAGGAAAGAAGAAGCAAACCACACCAGAGCACCCGTCAACCACCCACTTCTATTCTCTATCAAGCAGTGTTCTCCTTTCCAAGTGGTCTACACAAAGTTGAACCCTCAGGTAGGCTCTTAAACTTAAGCCATTAACAAAACTCATGGTCCTAAAATAATGACATCACCTTTTTCAACACTGAAAGGGTATTTGATAGGCACGACCTACAAATCTATTATCCATCTCCTACATGACCCAGCCAAGAGGGTGGACGCCTTGAAAACTCACAACAAAACAAACGTCTAAGTACGCCCAATAGAAAATTCAAACGACAGCCTCATAGCGAGAAACAAACTGATCTAACAATCCTTCGAAATAATGTTTCAGTCAGAAAGCTGAGTTAGCAAAGAGGCCCAACATGATGACCACCTTACCTTTCCGAAATGATTCTGGCGTTTATGCTGTGTGTATTCAAGCCCGCCAGATCATTTCTGTGGGGGACAAACAGCCTGAAGTTGAAAGGTGGAGACTCAAAGCGCTGAATCAGTTCATTCACAAACATCATGTCACGTGACCCATCTCGGGCTGGGTTGTAGCATACAAAAGCATCGTAGCATATCTTTTGCCCAAACCAAACTGCAAATATAAAAGTGAATCATCGCTATCGTAAACAAGTACAGACTGCTTATGGGGGGGGGGGATAAATTCATAAGAACATAAACGGCACATCCATGGTCAGTGATGTTATTAGAAATTTGTGAGAAATGCTGACAAAATGAGTTACTTTTCAGATTTTAGCCCTATGGAAATACAGGGTGATCAAAAAAAAAACTGTACTACTTTTTTTCAGAATATCACACACAAAATTTGTTCTTGTATGCTGTAATTTGGAACAGACATAATTCATTCAAAAGGAAACTGTTTAGCATGAAATTTTCTAAGAAGAAACTTACTTTGAAAACGGAAATGGCTTCAAGAAAAAAGCACCCTGAAACGCAAAGTTCACCAATTTTTATAAATCTTTTAAATGAAGTCGTGAAAAGATTGACTGACTTTTTTCTTTTTTTTTCTCTTTGCCATTTAATTTTCCATCCGTGTAACGTTTGAAAAATATTTAATTTCTTTTACAGAGTTAAAAAAACTAATGATTTCATTTTGGAATTCCTAAAAGCAGAGCTCTACATGCCCTCCTTTGAACTCGACACATTTTTAACGCGTCATTCGAAATGTTCAATGGCGCCCAAATACAAGGACCTGCTAAAGCATAAGTGTTTAAAGCCAAACACACTGTACATATTCAGTATGAAGTGGATTTTAGAAGCAATAAGGATGGAGTGTCCAATACAGCATTTTTGGAGTCAACATATCCCGCCTGGTGAAAATGGGCTTTGCATTAAACCAAAATAATGTCATTGAGGAAATGATCTTGCTTTTCAAGACAATTGAGGAATCATGAACACATTGCCAAGCTCTGATCCATGTAATCTCAGCCTAGCGAAGATGAGACTTGGTACAGTCGTAGGTTAAGACCTGCCATGAGAATGCAGACTGTTGTGGTGTAGGAAAGTCTTAGCTGCAAATCGTCTATGGACAGACGTCTCATGGGACTCGGCTACTGAAATCTGCACCCTGGTGACGTTTAAAGGGCTGCGCATGGTGCCTGTTCGTCCTGAAGTTCTCATTTTAAAGGAAATTTTTTGTTTCTGATTCGCTATAGATCCAAACAGACGGAACTTCTCTACTCATGACACCAAAAGACTTGAGGGCACCTAAGCATTCTCTCCAGGCCGTGCGCAGAACTTACTAAATGTCAGGGATGGTGAGTTTGTGGAGAGGTAATGTTCAATCCAAAAAGCTCTCTGCTCTTTACTAAACTTAACCATGATCTCAGCAGGCAAACGAAATTTGGGAAAAAATATCTGCAGACTTCTGTTCACTTAGACAGCTGTAGCTCACAAAAAGGCATGATTGTTGCAACTTTAAGTGATAGGCCTAATGCGAACTGGTACGTCATGCTACAAAAATGGGGGCAAGGTGGAAAATGGGTTGTTTTTATAATGCACCATTTAGAGCAAAACCATTCAATGGAATTCTCTAAAATGAATATCAGACAAATTCCTTTTGGCTTCCAAATAATATGTTCAAATCTGAAATGCAAAACTTCAGTATGGTGGAAGATATTTACAAAACAAGTTGTATATTTTTTGGGGGATCAACCTGCAGATCTGTCAAATCTATGGGCTGAATTTTTGCAAACTATTAGTATGAAATTATAAAAGACACGTTAAACTTAAAGAAAATTGCATCAATTGATAATCTATAAATTTGAATCCCGTATCAAAATTTTCAGCTAATATCTCCATTTGCAGATTGTGAGAAGTAACTCGTTTTGTCAGCATGTCTCACATATGTACAAAGCAGACTGCTTCTAGCCAACCAGAACATTCACATTAATCAATGTTATTTTCTTTACTTATTTCAAGTTCCAACCCAAGAGCAGCAAGAATAATTATTGCCAACAGTAATTGGTAGTTAACGCTGGCAATATTCTTTCTGCATAGTTTCTTGAAGATCAACACACGAGGTACTGATGGAACTGCATTGAGGCATCATGAATTAGCCAGCAAGCTGACTTGCGCACGTAACCTGGATTAGCATCACCGGCTCAGCTCACTTGCTCGTTCATGACGTCAAGAGCAAGCAGCATCTGAAGGAGTGAATAATGAATCTTTGCCGTGTACTGATCAACTTCTGCCCGATGGCAGTCCTGTACATCAAGTGAATTGTTTACTTGCTTGTTTATTAGTGGACACTAAAAACGAGCTCTCAAGAACAAAAATTTTTGTGGGCAGAACTCAAACTACAGCACAGAAAAAGCAACATGCATCGATACTCTCTCTCTCTCTCTCGCCATTTTTAACTCCCAGTGGAGTACAGGCCATCAACAACATTTTCCCAGCGAAGCCTGTCCTGTGCATCCTTTTCTAACTGTTTCCATGATGTCCCTGCCTTTTCCATTTCCGCTTACCTCTCACCTCCATGTCATCTTTGGTCTTCCTTTCTTACATTTTCCTTGTGGATTCCACGTCAAAGCCTGTCAGATGATGCTTGTCGGGGTCTCCTCAGGTGCCCAATCCATTTCTTCACCTGTATGTCTTCCTTTACTGGCCTCTGGCTTGGTCCCTCCCACAGTTGAGCATGTGTGACTCTATAACATTTCATTTTCCTCAAACAATTAACAAGTATTCTTACCATACTCATATCTAATAGCCTGAAGGAAAAAAGGGCAATTGTGCTATAATATGTGCTATATGAGGTTTTAAAAAAGAGGCAATACCTAACTGAAGGAAGTGGCATCATTTGGAGATGTTGACACATCACATTCAAATAACATTTCAATGGTGTCAGATAACTGGCCAAATCAGAGATTTCTCTACATTTTAAAGTTTGCCAAAAGGTGTACTAATATTTAGCTCCAATAAACACTTCATATTACTCAAACACATGTGCAAATCCGAAGTATTTATTTTTACTTTATTAACCCAGTTTTAAGTTCCACCTGAAAATAAGTTTGCATGAACATGGCAGGTTTGCGCCCAACACCATCAATTTACACTCTACATTTGAATCTAAATATGACGAGTCGGTTTATATAACAACCAACATGCTGCAAGTCTTTACTACACATGGGAGCCTAAAACAAACTTGGAACATACTCACCATCATCAGCTGTAATTGCCTTAGGCTGTTCAAATTCCCCAGGCCCTTGTGAGACTGCAATGAAAGATACAACATAAGAAACCGACATCACTAGTAAATGTATCATTTGTTTAAACCATATATCTGATCATCATCCGAAGGTTATCACATATATGTCACAAATGACTTGCTGCTTCTTGACAGCAAATAGAAATTCATAAAGGGCAACAAAACTTAGATTTGAAATACTATATTTCTATTACTAAATCATGATTTGAAATACTTATAAACTTATTGCTGAAGCAGGAAAAAAAATTCAGTTTGCAATATGTTTGAAAGAAGAAAGTCTGCAGTCATCTTAGATTAGAGAAAGTGAAAGACATTTTCCTTACCTTCGCCTACTTGCACCGGTCGGAGACGCTCACGATTTTCCAAAAACTTTTTGGCATCATTTTCTAAAAGACAAAAATAACAAGAGAAAGGTGAATCAAAATCTCACAATTAAATGGATTGAAAATGTAATGGTTAGCAGCAGCCTTGGCCTACTTACTGCCCCAAACATAGACATAAAAATAATTCACTTCAAATAATATAATTCCCATTAACCTGTCTAGAGTTTATAATTCTAATTTTAAGCTGCCATGGAATTTATCTTGCCCACTATCAGCATATATATATATATATATATATATATATATGTAATGAGAGGTGGTTGCATGAACTGGCAATAAGTCGTTTGGGTTATCCCTGGCTGAGATTGAGTTATCAAAGGTGCTTTCAAGTATCTTGCGTCTATTTGCTGGAAAAATAAACAACACAACTTTAAAGAATTTATCCTGGCATACCTGAAATCAAAATAAAATCACAAAACTGATGCACCGGCAAACAGCATGTTTTTAACAGTTTAGGTTTCTCTTATTTCAGACTTAATCATTTCCTAGTTTTAGTAGTAAAATAGATGTTTTGTAGGAAAGAAGGAGCAAACGACACCAGAGCAACCGCCAACCACCCACTCTTCATTTCTACACAACTTTGGCTATAGTTCAGATATTTTGAAAATTTAAAGCACACAACACTCAAGAGAGTACTTGCTATAAGATGGTAACAAAAAAAAAAGAAGAAAATCTCCGTTGTTTATTTGGCCCACTAACCTACTAACCTATCTTACACAGTGGGAAAAATTTTTGACATACCACACAAAACAAAAGCAGTGTCAAGGAATAGAACATTTTTCAAACCTAGACGCCCATCATAATGCAAAACATTCATTTTTCAAACTGGTACACGCATCAAAATACAATATAAGTCAAAACAATCCTTGATCAATGTAAATGCAGTCACAGATTTTCATCATTTATAACAAAAAGACAAATGCCAAAAATCCTGTACACTCTTTCGCCTAGCATTTTCAAATCCTACAGAAAGACAAGGGACACAGAAATCTTAATGTTAAAGAAAAATTAAAGCCCCCACCAAGTAAAAATAAATTCAAGCTAAAATCCAACAAACAGCACAGAGCGTGTACTAAAAAAACTACTTGACACCAATCTCACCGACCTATTTTGCCATGTAATTCTGTGAGTGCGTCTTCTCGCTCCATTCGGACCAAAAATTCCACCAGTTTTCCGACAGTTGGTCTGGGCTCAGTAGTACGTTCCATCCATTCTTGAATGACACTTTTCCCTCTTGAGCCATGCTCTAAATTCTCAAAGCGCTGAGGAAAGAAAACAATGATATTAACCTACTTGATGGTGGCGTGTGTGTGTGCGTGTCCCC